TTTCGAATCGTTTCCCAATGAATTGTTACTTGATCTATTCGAATACTTAAATGGTATCCATTTAATTCGTGCATTTGACAATCTCAATTCTCGATTTGACACTCTACTCCGAGTGTATTTTCAAAATCATTGTCTCAATTTTCAATCGATATCCAAAGACGACTTTAATGTCATCTGTAGACAAAATCTCCCATCACTTCTCGATCAAATCGTTTCTATACGTCTATCAAACGATAGTGAAACCCCACAACAGATAGATCTTTTTCTTGCGCATCTGTTAATTCTTCGTCGTTTCATTCATTTACGCGCACTTTCATTGTGCCACATTCGTTCCGCACAGACGATGAGCAAGATGATGATCGAATGGCGTCAACTTCCTTCGCTAACCCATCTCACTATTACTGATTGTCATTATTCATTCAACGAGATTGATCTTGCAGACATTATCAATCATATGTGGCATTTACCGAAACTTACCCATTGTCATTTGGATATGTATTCTGAATCTACTTCTCATTTTAGTGCGCCTACCTTGGTTTCATCATCTCTCAAACACTTGTTCATCGACAACCTCGACTGTAGCTTCAGTGAACTGATTCACTTATTTAAATTCACTCCTCAACTTCGGCATCTTCGTGCAAACGTTTATAGTACCGATTCTGATTTTCCAGAACTTGTATCTATCATGCCATCATTAGTTAAGGTAAAATTTTCGTTTCATGGTTCCCTCGGATTGATGCATCAACTTCTGTCAAGTATGCCTAATCTGGAACATTTAACGATCGAAATATGGAATGAATATATGAATGGTTATCGATGGGAAGAAATCATTGCCAATCATTTGCCTCGGCTTACGGTGTTTCGATTCAAAATGGAATATGAAGCTCACGGTGATGATAATTTTAGTGAAGAAGCCAATAAATTACTCAACTCATTTAGAACATACTTTTGGCTTGAAGAACATCAGTGGTTTGTGCAATGTCATTGTAATGACGGAGACGACTTGAGATTTATCCATGTTTTCACTTTACCTTACGCATTCGTCGATTATCCTAGTCATACGATTGGTGTCCTCTCAAAATCGACTTACCCACATGATGATGATCATTTGTCATATGATCGTGTACGCAATATTCATTATCTCTCACGCTCATTCAAAGACTTGGCACAGCCCCATATTTACTTTCCAAATATTCATCACCTTTGCGTACGATTACCTGCCAGTAATCAGTTTTGGTCTGTTATTCCGAGATTCGATCAATTGAAGTCGCTTGTAGTTTGGATGAATGACTTGCTTTCACTTCAAATCTTGATGAACAAAGCGCCTAATCTCTATTCGATCGTGTTTGCCTCATCGTCGATATCACACATATCACTACTTGAGTGTACCAATCTGTCAGTTCGTCGGCTTGACTTCCAATCAGATAATCACTATTTCAACGATGAACAATGTGTTGACTTGAGCCATTCATCGCTCGGCTGTAAATGCGAAGTGCTTCGAATTCGAGTTGCTAATCGAATCAATATACTTACTCTTATTGACGTCATGCGCAGTCTTCGAGCGTTGAGTGTTCAATCACAAGACGACCAGTGGATGTATGACGACGATCCATCATCCCTTTTCGCATCAAAAGACGAACTTGTCGAATGGCTGAAACAACATTTGTCCACTATGCACACGATAAACAGAGACGCTACTGGCGAGATTCGACTGTGGATTCATCGATCAAGTGATCATTAACATTCACCGTGTAACTAAAAGAACTTCCTTCCTATACTTTGCAAAATGCCTGTAGACCGATATTATTTACAGCCATGATTTTTCTCTAAATCGCTAGCTGAAACGTAATTGAAAGTGAGTATTGAAGCTAAGAATCGTGTGGGTGTGGGTGTGGCTGTGGATGTGGGTGTGGATATTCTCTTCACGGATACTCACACCCACACCCACACCCACACCCACACCCACACCCACACCCACACCCACACCCACACCCACACCCACACCCACACCCACACCCCCACCCACACCCCC